AAGACAAAGGTCAAGACAACTGGAGGTGGCTCAAGATGCAGTGGATGACTTTGGTATCTTCAATGTCTGACCATGCTCTGAGAGTTCCACAGTACCTGCTTCTGCCACTTGCATGGCCTATTGGCACAAATTGTTCACATCTGCCTGTTCTGCCAGGGCAGTCTTCACACCCCTTGAGCTCACCAGCCGGTCTGAGGCTTCTCAATTACCTTCAACCTGCTTTAGGTCATCTGCCAAAATGATTTGCTGGGGTGTGGCTTCTGTGCATGCTACAGGTTCTTGGAGCCACAGGTGAGAGGTGGGTGGCAGGTGGACACCAGAGGTGGAAAGTGGCCCTGAAAAGGGCTGAGCAGCCCTCACACCTTCCCAGAACACCCGCATACCCCAATAGGAGAAGAGAAGGAGGATGAATACTACAGACATCAGGAATAATCAATTAGTTAATCAACTAACAAGCTTACAGATTCTCCTGTGAGCCAGTAACTGTCCTAGGCAATAGAGATTCAAAGAATGAAATAATGCCTACTCTCAAGGAACTTACAGACTAGTGGTGGAGATAATATATAGCCAAATAGGTATATACAAAATATATACAGGGTGAATGGGGGTGGGTGGGTGGGGGAGGGAGGCACAGATAGTTGGAGGGCATCAGAAAAGATGTGATTGAGAAAGTTGTACTTGAGCTGAGCCTTGAAGGAAGTTCTGTTCTTACAGATGGAGGGGAGGACAGAGTAGAAACAACCATCTCGATATGGGTGACAGCCAGTACCAAGGCACAAAGTCTTGTATGATAGAGAGTAAGAAGGGCAGTTTTTCTGGACTCTCTCTCTCTCTCTCTCTCTCTCTCTCTCTCTCTCTCTCTATATATATATATATATATATATATATATATATATATATATACATAGATATATAGATATATAGATATGTATATATATGTATGTATGTATAATAATTTTATATATGTACATGCATGTATAAATATAGATAGATAGATGGATAGATAGACTGACAGATGGATGGACGGATGGACAGACAGACAGACAGACAGATAGATAGATAGGTAGATAGGTAGGTAGATAGATAGATGATAGCAGATTGGAGCTGGGATGGGAAGGACTTTTAATGCCAAACAGACAAGTTTGTATTTGTGTCTAGTGGTAATAAAGAGCACTGGAGTTTATGGGGTAGGAAGTAACATAGTTAGACACACACTTTAGGAATATTTGTTATAACAACTATGTGGTAGATGGATTGGAGTGGAGAGGACTTAAGGCAGGGAGGCTGATTAAGGGGCTACTCCTACAGTCCAGATTAGTGGTGAGAAGAGCCTGATCTAACATGGCGGGCTGTGTGAGTAGAGAGAAGAGAAACAAGAAATCTTGTGGAGGTAAAATGGTAAGATTTGACAACTGAGGTGATATGTAGCCTAAGAAGAATGAAGAGTCAAGGATGGTGCTGGAGTTGCAAAGCTGGATGACCTGAAGGACGGTTATGCCCTCAACAGAGAAGGGGAATTTGGAGAGAGTGGTGGGTTTGGGTAATGAGTTCCATTTTGGACGCATTGATTTTGAAATGCCTACATCTCAGTATGACATCCCAGTTCAAATATGGTGAGTAAATATTTGGAGATGGGGGAAAGCAAGAGATGTTTTGGAAGAAAAGGGAGTTGTCCGGTTTGGTTGAAGCATGGAGAGGTAAGATGGCACCAGATTGTGGAAACCTTTAAATCTCATGTAAAGAAGTTTGATATTTACTGGTGAGTAATAGGGAAGCAGCTAGGTGTCACAGTGGGTAGAGTGCCTGGCCTGGAGTCAGGAAGATTCATCTTCCTGAGTTTAAATCTGGTTTCAAGACTCTTACTAGCTGTGTGATCCTGGGCAAGTCACTTAACCCTAGTTGCCTCAGTTTCCTCATCTTTGAAATGAGCTGGAGAAGGAAATAAACTACTCCAGTATCTCTGACAAGAAAACTCCAAAAGGGGTCATGAAGAGTCGGATTTTTGAGCAGATAGTGACCTGACCAGATACATGCATAAATGTGATTATTCTAGCAACAGTGTGAGAGATGGATTAGATAGAGGTGGGAGCAGAGAGAGCCTGTGGAAAATAAAAGACTTGTTGAGCAATTATCACAGTAGTCCAGGAGGGTAGTAATGAGGACTTGTACTAGGGCAGTGGCCATGAGACTTGAGAGGAAAAGACAGAGAGATATGGTACAATTTTAGGGTTTTATATCAAGGTCCTCCCATACCCCCATGCCTATTATTCCACCATTAGTGATTCTTTCTTTTTTAGCTCTGTCCCCAAGTTTCTCCCTTAAAAATGCAAAAACTCATTTGTTGCATATCGTTGCCAACAGATTAGAGGGAATGACTTCATCAGATCTTTTTACTTCTTATCAGTCAGGACTTGGGAAGGAAGGAGGCTGTGAAAGGGAAGGAAAGCTGCAGAAAGTTGAGGTTAGGAGTTCAGAGCTACAAAGCACTTCTTAATATTGCCAAGGATTAGATATGGTGCTTTATGGATGTGTGGGGAATGCTATTTTCATTAAAAAAAAAAAAGCAAAGTGTCATACTACACATATTGTGTAACAGTTGTGTCTATGACTAGCATATGATGGGTTGGCATTTTTTGGTCTATTTTTTAGGAACACAGGCAATCACCCCAAATTGTGAGGTATATGCTATTTTATAGGAGCTTTCTTTTCTCAGAGAGAATTCAAAGAATTAAAAAGCAAAGCAAACAAAAAAAAATCAGCTCTCTATAACTTTTATTTTACATATCAGGAAACTGAGCCCCAGAGAGGTTAAGTTATTTGGCCAAGGTCACATAGGTAATGAATGTTAGAGGTGAGATTTGAACCCAGGTCCATCTGACTGGAAAGCATTAATGCTCTTTCCCCTGAACCATGCTGCCTCCCTGTCTTTTTGATCCAGACCCATAATCCATTTGCGTTCCCCTTCTTTCACTTCCGCTGCCTGCTAATCATAGATACATGTCTTTCCCATCCAGTCTTGGACGTGATTTTGAAGGCACTTACGACCTAATGGTGTAAGAATCACAGTAAGAACTCACAACCCATGGCTCTCAGCTTCCTGTACTTTTCATCTTTTTCCAGGTCTATTCCATCTCATCTCATAGAAGAATAACTCAGTATGGCATTATATGAAAACATGCAATTAGGTGAAACAATGGTTTTGAGACCAGTTAGTTCCATAGTCATAAAGAGGAACAGAAGCAACAGGGAATTGGAGCGCAGTACCCTTTGGGCTCGGAGCAGGGGCTGAGTCACGCTGACATCTGGTAATGAGATGACACAGTGAGGTTTGATAATGTTTTGACGACATTATTTTGTGGCTCAACCATGCTTTGTGCTGTCTAGGTGCCTTGCTTCATTACCCTTAGTTCTGCATCCTTTCAAAATGGGTCTCCAAACAGTCCTCAGACCCCCACCCTTGGAAGATTTCTTGTGAAATGATACATGGAAAAACAATGGGGATGAGAGCATTTAGATCTTCAGTAGTCTGAGGGTGCTAAACAGAAAAGTTCACCTGAAATATGTACAAGTTTATTTTATTTTTGTATACCATGTAATTTTGCATTGAAGAAGGTAGCTCAAAAAACAAATTGTCTTACAATCCAATGTATAACACTTACTACAAAGAATCAGTGTGAAAACATTAAGTAGATCTCCTCAAATGAGTATTTCATAAGGACATGGATTATGTCTGTAGCATTTACATAGTCCAGGACTTGGATGGCATCACTGCCTGGTTCTGTTCATTTGGTTTATTGATGAGTAATAGTTAGAATTTCTCTGGAATTATTTAAATTGGCTACATGATTAATACAGCATATATAAGACCTAAGTAATTGAATTTCTGTGTAAGTGAAGAGGAGAAAATTTGAGACAAAATTTTTAGAAGTGTAAGTGATAAATATATTCCCTGATGAGGGATTTTGTTCCCAGTATGAGATGACATAATAGCAGTTATTTAAGGATACAGTGCTTTAGGAGAGTGACTATAACACCAGCTGACAACAGCATGGGCTTTGGAAAGATTAGAGAGACAGTGCATTCCTCTTTAAGCAAATAGGATGACTCATAAATGTTTTTTCCATCTAGGATACATTTAATGATGAGTTAGAAAGGCCTTGTTTGTGAGCAGGTTAAGAATGCTTAAAGGAACACTGTTAACGCTTAGTAGATTGAAGGTCCTATTTCTGTTGAGTCTTCATTAAGTTAAGTACTGTACCTTGATTAAAGCCTTTAGCAACCAAAGGTAAATGAAAATGTGTTTGAATTTCACTATGTAAATACAGATTTTACATGATTTATATTTCACATTGGTGATTCTATCAACACATGAGATCTTATTTAAGGTAACACATTATTTCATTACAATAAAGTTATAAAGAGCTTTAATCAATTCATTTGCTTATTTGCTAATCCAAACCAGTGGCACATATGTATGTATATATGTATGTATGTGTATATATATATGTGTGTGTGTGTGTGTGTGTGATATATATATATATATATATATATATATATATATATATATATATATATATGTATGTATATGGTACATGCTTGATTTACATCAGGGATCTCAAAACTATGAGCATGGGGCTTCTTGCTGCATTCCCCAGGTAAACCAGAGAGCCCTTTGTTTAGATGCAATTGGATTAATGAATCTTTGTGAAAAGAAATAGGGTTTAAGGCAGAAGTAGTACAAGAAGAAGAGTTATCAACTTCAAACAAACAAGCTTGAGCTTGAGACCACCAGTCTATAAAATGCATCATGCACAAAGGATTCAAACAAGAATATATGATGACAACAGTCCAGAATTCTTTTTTTTTCTTTTTTTTTTTGGTGAGGCAATTGGGATTAAGTGACTTGCCCAGGGTCATACAGCTAGTAAATGTCATGTGTCTGAGACTGGATTTGAACTCATGTCCTCCTGACTTCAAGGCCAGAGCTCTAGCCACTGTGCCACCTAGCTGCCCCAACAGTCCAGAATTTAAAAAAAAAAACAACAAAAAAACCCAAATCTACTGTAGTAGGTAGAGAGCAATCAGAAACTTTTGCTCTCCGTTGACTTCTTACACACGAGGCTGGAAATGAAGAACCACAGCCTGACCGATCTCAAATGTTCTGGGTCTTTTTTTTTTCTTTTTGCCATCTTGATAACCTTTTGCTGTCTAGTCATCTCAGGCTACATTTTAATAGCATCACCATCTTTATTATCTGTCACTTTGTTGATGTTCTTCTCAGATAGGGTTTCTTAAAATCATCACCCGAGATGCTATTCTTGTTATGGGATACCAGAAACAAGGCAAGGTTTCATAGCCCAGATGCACAATGGCTTGGTCTGGGAACTATGCACATTATAAGAAGAAAAGCCCATTTCAGGGTGAGGGACAGATTGACACTCTGGGCAAACATTTATTGACTAAAACCTGAATAGGGAGCCCTGCAATTACTCAAAGGGTGTCGGTTCCTCTTTCCTCTGGTGGAAGGGAGTCTGCTGTCGTTTACAAAGCATCATGGATTTCATGATCCATAGTAGACTGAGTGTGAGATGAACTGGGTGTTTCCGAAGCATAAACTTGGAGAAAACTACAGTATTTGCAGAACCTTAAAGGTCCCCTGCAGGTTTTGAAGAGTTGCTTGATGTATTTTCGGAACTTTTCCCCTAGGAAGAAGTAGATGACTGGATTGAGGCAGCAATGAATAAAAGCCAGGGTCTCTGTGGCCTGGAGTGCATAGTCGAGCTGCATGCCAAAGGTGCAGTCCTGGAAAACTTCCAGTTCTACCAGGATCTCCAAGAAGAGCACAATGTTGTATGGAATCCAGAACACCAGGAACACAACCATTACTGCAAAGATCATCTTCACTGCCTTGTTTTTTTTGTCATTTTTGCAGCGATGCAGGGTCTTGATGATCATGGTGTAACAGAAGAGCATGATTCCAAGAGGAATCAAGAGCCCTAAGATGTTGATTTCTAGAGAGCTCAGAACCTTCCAGGTGGTTGAATTCCCAGGGTACTTCTCTTTGCAGTAGGTGGTGTTATTCTCCGTGTAAGATGTGCTGAATAACAAGACTGGAAGTGAGGCTAACATGGCCACCAGCCATATAACTAGACTCGTAATAACCCCATAGGTCAGAGTTCTGGCTCTCAAGGCAAAAATAGCATGCACTATTGCCAGGTACCTGTCTACACTCATGAGCATAATGAAGAATATGCCACTGTAAAACCCAACCAAATACATGTAGGAGATGATTTTGCAAAAGGCTGTTCCAAAAACCCACTGGTCAGCAACATAGTAGACCCAAAAAGGAAGGGAAAAAACAAAGAGCAGATCAGAGATGGCGAGGTTGAACAGGTACACATCAGTCATAGACTTAAGCCGCTTGTATTTGAGTAGGACCAAAACCACCATGAAGTTGCCCAGCAGACCAAATAGGAACACCAGGGAATATAATGGTGGCAAGAAGAGTTTTCCAAAGTCCCTCACTCCCCCTTTGCTGCAGGGACTGGGGAGGTCATAGATGTAATAGTTGCTATAGTCCAAAGTGGTTTCCATCGCTTCTGTGGTAGACTCAACTGGAAGAAGTGGGAAAAAGAGAAGAATGTATTTATAGTAGTGAAATCAACCAAGGCTACTCTGAATTAAAATAAATAAATAAATAACCATTTCATGAGAGGCAGCATGGTGTAGTGGATAGAAAGCTACCTGAAAGTAAGGAAGAACTAGGTTCAAGACCTGTCTCTGGCACATTGTGTGACCATGGGAGAATCACATAATCTCTCCATGCCCTACACAACTCCTTGTGACTATACACTGCGGAACCATGCCAGTGTGTATCAGTGAGAGGAGATTGCATAGGGGCAGCTAGCTGGTGCAGTGGATAGAGCACCGGCCCTGGATTCAGGAGGACCTGAGTTCAAATCCGGCCTCAGACACATAACACTTACTAGCTGTGTGACCCTGGGCAGGTACTTAACCCCATTGCCTAAAATAACAACAACAACAAAAAAAAAGAAAGAAAGGAGATTGCACATCAGGAGTTTCCCACAATGGACCATTCCCCCAGCACTTTCATATTCATCCTCATGAATATCATTAGACCTTTTACAAGCTGGAAACTCAGATCTCCCTCATGGAGAATACAAGCCAGTATTTCTCCACATAAACTATACTGCAGGCTGGTAAAATGTCTAAATTTCCTATGAATGACTCCTTCTCCCACTGGCAACTCAGTGTTTGGTGGCTCAGAGCTTGGGAAGTGGGAAAAGGAGGGAAATGGGAGGGGGAATACCAGGATCCAGAGAGAAAGAGAAGCTGCATTTAAAAAAATATGCAAATTTTAAGCAGTAAGGACTTTTGGTAGTGAAAGTTTTGAGGACAAGGAAAAAGTTGTCACTTAGATCAGTACGTTGAGAATATAATTTCATGGTGGTAGGGGGTACTCTCTCTACCACTGCAAACTGCAATCTCTCAATGACTTGTTCTTTAAGACCATCTTGAAGCACAGGTCTGACCATTCACCTCATCTCGTCAATAAACTGCAATGGCTCCCTGTTACCTCCTCTGTTTGGTCTTTAAAGTTCTTAATAACCTGGTTGCTTCATGCCTTTCCAGTCTTCTTACACTTTACTCCCCTCCCTTTATTCTAGAACCAGTGACCCTGACCTCCTTACTTCTCCTCACATACAATGCTCTGTCTCCCTTAGTGTGTGCCTTTTCACTGGCTATCCCTCATGCCTGGAATGCTTTTCCTTCCCTGGCCTTTTGACTCCCTTGATTTCTTTAGGTTTTAGTTAAACTCTTACGTCTGCGAGATGCCTTCCCTGGTTCTCCCCCTGATCTGCTGGTACCTTCTCCCAGAGACTCTTTTCAATTCATCCTGCATATATCTTATTTGCAGTTGGTTGTTTGCATGTTGGCTCTCTGTTAAACTGTAAGCTCTTTGAGAACAGGGGCTGGTTTTGCTTTTCTTTGTATCTCTAGCACTTAGCACAGTGTCTGACATTTAGTTAGCATTGAGGAAAAGCTTGTAGATTTGACTTTAAGACCATAGCTGTCACCCCGGAATTCATCCCTCTGCCACCAACGTGGTGAGTCTCAAAAATTTGTCACAAAAGACAAGGTGAGAAAGCCCAGGTTTAAGACGTTTTTCTGTCCGAGTTCTACACCATCGCAGTCAGTGGGAGGGGCTGAAAAGAATTCAAAGCCCTCCACCTAAGTGTTTTTGACAGAAATATGAAGTCACACTGAAATATTCAATACATAACTCATTTGGATATTCTCAGTTCTTAGATATACTTTCCCCCTACAAATCGGTGTCTCCCATCTCTGTAGGTGTTTATATGTGTCAAGTTGTGTTGCAGCAGCTCGTTACAGTGTGGACACACAGCCAGTCTCTGAGGTCTTTCCAAGATGAAGGATTTTTGCTGTGCTGGCTTAGACTTATGAGGAACCAGGAGAACCTCTGTACCACTATGAAGCATCACAGTGAATCTTTAGTGGAAGGAAGAGCTATAATTAATTAGATGATTTTTTTCTGACATGCAGGTCTGATGATGTCACCCTGCCTGCTCAGTGCTCCCTGTGGCTCCCTATTACCTCCAGCTTCAAACATAAACTTTTTGTTTGGAATTTAAAGCTATTTACAACCTCGACCCTTCTTACCTTTCCAATCTTCTCCAACTTTACTCCCCTCCATGACTTATAGGAGCAGCTAGGTGGTGCAGTAGATAGAGTGCCAGCCTCCTCTTCGTGAGTTCAAATCTGGCCTCAGACACTTACTAGTTGTCTGACCCTGGGCAAGTCGAATAACCTTGTTTGCCTCAGTTTCCTCATCTGTAAAATGAACTGGAGAAGGAAATGGCAAACCACTTCAGTATCCTTGCCAAGAACAAGTAGAGTCATGAAGAGTCAGACACAGTTGAAAAACAACTAAAAAACAACAAAGAATGAATTCTGCAGTACAACTATCCTGGCCTACCTGTAGTTCCTCCAACACAAGACTCCATCCATCATCTCCTTGCCATACACTAGTTGCCCTCCACACATGGAGTGTTCTACCTCTGCTTTCCTTTAAGACTCGGACTTGCTCTGATCCGACTTACTCTAAGAAGCCTTTCCCCTTGCTTTACACCCGCTAGTGACTTCTCCTCTTGGAATGCCCCCCATCTACTTTGTCTGTAGCTCTAAACTGCACTAAGACTTATGGTCCACCCCAAACTATCTTGTTTCTATCTAGTCATTTGCTATTAATTATTTTGCATTAGACTGTGAAGGAGGGGCTTTTTGCCTTTCTTTGTATCCCCAGCACTTAATACAGTGCTGCCACATACTAAGGGCTTAATAAATACTAGATGATTTGGCTCAATTGGAAATAGTCCAAATGAGACTGAGGACAATGGAGTTATAGCTTTAGAACAAGAAGGGACCTTAGAGGTTGGTCATGCTCTCATTTTATAGATGAAGAAGCTGAGGCCCGAAAACTTTAGATGACTTGTCCGGGTTAACCCAGGTAGTAAGTGGCAGATCCAGCATCTGAGCCCAGATGTTCTGATTTTAAATCTTGCAGTTTTAAACTTTTTTTTTTTCACTATTCCAAACAATTCTTTTGGAAGCAATTGAGCTAAATTCAGAGAGGTTGTCAGTGTGAGGAGATTGTATGTCAATGTGAAGGAGATTGTATGGGACATAAGTGGGAATCCAGCCAATGGGATGATTTTAGTATTCATTATTTCGGAACTTTGGGGAGCACTCCAAGCAATGAAGTATATAAGCACACGTGTGTGTGCAAACACGCACACACATTTGTGTGCACACACACACGCGCGTGCACACATACACATTTAAGGAGGCAGAAAGGAAGTCAGACCTTTAGATGCTAAGAGCTGGAACAAATCTTGCTGCCGTGTAAACCAATCCTGACCTGAATTATGATTTCCTTCTCCAGCCTTCCTGACAAGTGGTTGGCTAGCTTTCACTTGGAGACTTGTGAAGATAGGCAGGGCAGTTCACTAGGATTAGGTGGTTTGGCAAACTACAGTTCTTATCACCTTGTATGGTATTTAGCCACGTTTAACACCAGTCAGCAAGTTAGCAAAGGTGAAAGGAGAAATGAACTGGCTGAGGTTTTTTACTAGACTGGTTAGGTAGAAAACCTGCAGGTTTTATCATCGTCTTCGTCTGCTGGGGAGGGGGAGGGCTTGAAAGAGAAGGGGAGGCACAGAGCAGAAAATGGATGCTTCTTTCTTAACCTCACAACCCCACAGTGTACCTCTCTTCCTCGAAGAGAATATAAATTGAGATTTTGTAACTTGAGTCATCTGCATTGTGGGAACGCTTCCCTCCACCCCCAGGGCCTCCTTTGGAGTCTGCATTTCCACTACTACCCCTAAGGACACTGAAGGAAACTCCCCCCTCCCCACTATTGTCCTGCATTTCTAAAGCCCCCATTTCTCTTTCTTTACATGGGGCAAGAGAACTTCCCAGAATTCCATGTTCTCAATTTGTTTAGAGGCAAGTATGTGGCATGTTGTTGAGTCATTTTTCAGTAGTGTCGAACTTTGTGACCCGATTTAGGGTTTTCTTGGCAAAGATATTGGAGTGGTTTTCCCTTTCCTTCTCCAACTCATTTTACAGCCGAGGAAACTGAGGCAAACAAGGTTACATAACTTGCCCAGTCACACAACTAGTAGGTATCTGAGGCTGGATTTGAACTCATGAAGATGAGTCTTTCTAATTCTAAGCGCGGTGCGCTGTCCACTGTGCCACCTCGCTAGTATCTGAGACTAGATTCAAATCCAGGTCTTCCTGACACTAAGTCCAATGCTCTAACCACCACACAATGCTGCCTTTGATTTCAAATCCAGCCCACTTTCCCCAGCCCCATGCTGCCTCAAAGACCCTATAAATTAACAACAGTCAGGGAATGAGACAAACACATTAAGTCAGGCTGAAGAAGAGATTACTAAAATGAAATGGTTTGGTAGCCATATATTTCAAATTAGGTCAAAGAGCAAAAGCTCAGTAAGTCAATAAGGGAGCATCGGTAAAGAAACTTTGGGAATAGGTAGTTTACAAATTGACTGTTAAGTGTAAGCCAGGCTGAGCTAGTTGACATTTTCAATGGGAAAAATAAGATCTTTTTGGCAAATGCATGCATGAGTGCTATGGTTGGACAAATAGCCCGCACGTGTGTGTGCAAAAATGCATGCATGCATTTGTTCAAAATGGATAGTGGGGCCCCGGTGGGTATGTGTGCATGTTGTATATGTGACTGCAAAAAGCAAATGGGCCCTGCAAGTAGATAGGAGCTAAGAATAGGCATGTACCGTTTAGTGAGCCCAGAACAGACCTATGAAGTCTGGCTTGTGCCTGGGTGTGTAGGCTACCCATAAAAGGTCCCTGTGCATACAATATATCCACAAAGCTTGCACATTGTCCTATATTGTTCTGAGTGGGTCCATGAAAGATGTGGCAGATGTGTGTGTGCACCCAACCATTAAAAAGAAATGAGATAATCGCACGTGTATAACCTATATCTGATTGCTTACCATCTAAGGGGTGGGGGTGGGGGGGAGGATAGAATTTGAACTCAAAACTTAAAATAAAAAGTTTTAAAAATTAAAAAAAATAAAATCCTGAGGAAAAAAAAGAATTTAAAAACATTCATTTCCTTCCTACCTTGTCTTCTGACTATGGCTCCAAGGACCAGGTTGCTTCAGGTTTCCCAGTCGGTGCTAAACTTGCTCAGAAAGCTGGGTGCTAAATATGACTGGATGTCTTTGAAGGGGTATGGCGTGCTTCCTGTGATGAGCCAGTCACCTTAGTCAAAAGTCTTTTATCAGGAAAGAGATCTAGGCTTAGCTAAAATAGGCTTTCTCTCTCTTCATCAGCGAGCAAACCTACCTCAGGCAAGTGGGAGGAAGCTCCTTCGAGCCAGTTTTCATCAAACTAAGCTCCGTCCTGTACAAGGATGCTATAGAGAGCATGGGCATTCTTGACTCGTCACATTTGTTTTTCCCCTATTCCATTTTTTAAATTAAATTTTATTTTTAAATTAATAATATTTATTTTATCTCCCACTGTCCCTTTGTAACATGCATGGTCAAGAAAAACAAATTCCCACATTGATCATGTCCAGAAATGTATGCCTCATTTTGCATATTTATTCCGTCGGGGGTGAGAGACATGCTTCATCATTAGTCCTTTGAAATCATGACTGATCATTACATCGATCAGAGCACTTAAGTTTTTCAAAGTTATTTGTCTTTACAATGTTGTTATTGTATAAATAGATCTCTGGTTCTGCTCCCTACACTTGGCATCAGTTCATACAAGTCTTCCCAGATTTCCCTGAAACTATTCATTTCATCATTTCTTATAGTAGTATTCTATTATATTCTTATAGTATAATTTATCCAGCCATTCTCCAATTAATGGGAACCACCTTAGTTTATAGGAGTGAATCTTATCAAAGTGAAGGCCCTTTTTGGACAGGCATGCTACAGGGACGGCAGTCATCCTTGACCCTGTCTATCTGTTGAATTCTAGAGAATTTTATTACAAGGCTTCAGCTGACTTGTGACTGCCTGAATATTTAGTATAAAACAATATCAGCTAAATTGGATGATTTCTTTGGCCATTTTATGCTGGCTTGGAATCTTATTTTGAGGGAGCAGGCAAAAATCTAGCTACTTTTAAAAGATAGATGTGTCTATCCAATTAAAATTGTTTCTCTTGGGGGGGGCAGCTAGGTGGTGCAGTGGTTAGAGCACCAGCCTTGGACATAGGAGGACCTGAGTTCAAATCTGGCCTCAGACACAAAACACTCACTAGCTGTGTGACCCTGAGCAAGTCACTTAACCCCATTGCCTAGCCAAAAAAAAAAAGTTCCTCTTGAAATTTTTTTCCATTTTCTAGCTCAATGAACATATGGGGGGGGTGTTATACTTTTTTTCCCTAATGAGCTATTTATTACCTTCTTGTCACCATCCATTCATTGATGTGGAAAATTAAGGAATTTGCTGTTTACCAGACAGATAGTATTTAATCAATCAGTTAGAATTAATTAATTCTAATTAATTAATTAATTTAGCACCTGCCAAGCATTGTGCTAAAGACTGGAAAGACAACAATGAAACTGTCCTTGCCCTCAAGGAGCTTGTATTCTGGGAGTAGTGTTTGTTTCACTGGGGTTAAAGAGAGAGAGAGAGAGGTAGGGGGTGAGTGGAGAAAAAGAGAGACAAACGGACCTAAAGAAACAGAGACAAGAAACAGTGCCTTGAGGCTGAATTTGAACTCAGATTTATTTGTGCCACCTAACTGAATGATGTATAATTTCCTGCCCTCAAAAAATTTACAGGCTTGTTGAGGAGATAAGACAAGTGGGCTGAAACCTTAAGAAAAACTTTAGGGGCACTTATTATCATCCCATTTTAAAAGCTATCCAAATAAGTTAATTGAATATAATTGAAAATCTCTTGATAAGTTGAATAAATGGGCAGGAATCTATTTCTATATGATGGTTCATTATAATTAGTGAGGAAGTGGGAAGAAAAAATATTTTAAAGGTACTTTGACAGATATATTTTAAAATGACTGCTCCTTACTCTAGTGTTTTTGAGGCATTTGTGTGAAACTCAAACCAAGATACAGAATGAATTAAATTCCAATTATGAACAAAGGGATGAACTTCCAGATGGCATCTTGTAATAAAAAAAAAGTTGATCTGCTTCAAAGTGTATTATGCTCCACATGGAAAGTTCCATCACCTGAATGCCTTGAACCATGGACAAAAATGATTCACTTTTACTTTTCTAAGTGATTGACTTTGATTCAGTAGAGACTAACTCTAAGGATCTGACTTTAAATTTCATGTATATACATATGTGTACATGTTACATACACACAGCATAACTGAGTCTTAAAACATAAAGAAATATAGTGGGTATGATTGATGCCCCAAGACTTTATTTTTCATGATGGGGGCCCAGAGAACAATATCACTTATTGAAAGGGCCCCCAAATGCAGCGCTCTTTCCACTGTACCAAAACAACTAAAGATGGCATTTTGAGTTGCTACCAGAAAGAAAAGGGCAGATGCAGTCAAGCAGAGTTAAAGCTTTGGACCCCAGTTTGATGAGGGTCATTTCTACAAGCCATATGATCCAGGATCTCTGCAGTTTACGCCTTTAAGCACTGGGTTTGGTGCTTTTTGCAAGAGTTGGCCAGATGGAGTGGAATTGGAGAGGAATCTCTCAAAGACTTCACAGTTGTAATAATTGGAAGGAAGATTAACATAGGCAAATGAGGCAGCTAATAACAGTGCAAGGCTGCCATCTGTACCCAGTGCTAAGTAAGTGGTACAGACAATAAAGGTTCATGGAGTTCAGAGAAGAGAGAGGTCTATAGAGAGGGCTTTTGGAAGAGGTAGCTTTTACTGACTTAGAGAGACCCATAGTGCTCAATCAATATGTCCTTACCACATGCCAGACAGATGTGTTACGGATATGCAGACAGGCAAAAAGCAATCTCTGACCTCAGGGAGCTCACATTATAATGGGGGAGAGAAGATAGAAATAGCTACGGGTGTACAAGATATAAACAGAGTAGATGGAGGTAATCTGACAGCCCCTCGGGGGACTGGGAAAGGCTCACTTCAGAAGTTGACATTTGAGCCGATTCTTGAAAGAAGTCAGGGAAACTGAGGTAGAGTTGGAGGCAAAGCATTCCAGGTATGAGGCACAGCTAAGGCAAAGGTATGGAGTTAGGCAATGGAGCCTCATGGTCAAGGAACTTTAAGTAGGTCAGTATAGCTGGATCACGGAGTGCACGAAGGAAAGCAACATGTGAGAAGAGCAGGAGGATAGGAAGGAGGCAGGTCGTGAAGAGCTTTCATTGCTGAACAGAGGACTTTCTATTTGATCCTGGCAGTAATAGGGAGCCACTGGAGATCATTGAGCAGGTGAGTGACATAGACAAAACCTTGACAGCTGATTGGAGGATGAATTGAGTAGGGAGAGCTGGTGGTAGTTAGACCAACTCCAAGCCTATTGCAGCAGTCCAGGTAAGAGGTAATAAGAGCCTGTACCAGAGTGTTGGCTGTGTGAGCGGGGATGGCAAGAGGAGGTATGGAAGAGATGTCACAGAGGTAGAAATTACAAGATATGACAACAGATCAGATATTTGAGGTGGGTATGTGAGTGGAGGGAGGGAAGGGGACACAGAGATTTTCTTCTTGTTATTCAGTCTTTTCAGTTGTTTCTTGACTCTTAGTGACCCCGTTTGGGGTTTTCTTGGTAAAGACACTGGAGTGGTTTGTCGTTTCCTTCTCCAGCTCATTTTACAGATGAGGAAACTGAGGCATACAGACTTAAACTCAGCTAGTAAGTGTCTGAGGCCAGATTTGAAGATGGAGTAAGTACTCCTTACTCCAGACTTGGCACTTTATCCACTGCCCCACCTTGCTACCCCAGAAAAAATGTTGTAAATGTATTAATTATAAGATTTGACAACAGATTGGATATGTGAGGTGAGTTCAGTGGTGTGCTGATCAATATTTAACAATCAGCTCTCTGGAAAAATGTACACAGGACACATTTAAAGTTTCACGTGCATTATCAGCATCCTACCTATTCCTTTATTAAATATGGACAATCAACAAAAATAATAAATCAAGCCCTGATTTGTACTGTTTGCTGATTTCTAAGGTGTAAATGCTCACACTGACAATTTAACAATCAGCTTTCAAGTTAGTGGCTCCAGTACACCTCTTGGTGAGTTCTAGTGACGAGTCAAAGCTGATGCTGAGGTTGAGCCTGGTGATAGGGATAATGGTCATGCCCTCAATAGTAATAGGCAATGGGAGAGGGGAGGGTGTGGGGGAACTTTCTGCAAGTTTATTTTCTATAGGAAACAAGAGAGATTAATCTTCTTATGGCATCCTGAGCACAACCTCTTGGTCCTCATCTGTAAAATAAGTGGTTGGACTAAAACAAGGTTTCTTACCTCTTTCTGCCATTGACCCCGTTGGAAGCTTGGTGAAGTCCATGACCCTTTCTCAGAGTGATGTTTTTCAAGATGCTCAAAGAAATATATGGAACTACAAAGGAAACTGTGTTGAAATAGAGTTATCAAAATATTTTTTAAAAGTTTATGGACTCCGTGGTAAGATCCCCTGGACCACAAAACAGCTAAACCCTAAGATCCTTGATTTCTTTCTATACCTTCTGGTGACAGCCGTACAGAAGAGGAATGATTTCAGATTAATTTTCCCAGAGTGTGGAGTGAGAGGCCGTTCATATACATGACATTTGTTGTCATATGTTCAGAAGGAGACGATATGAAAAGCAACCAATCTTTATTGTTTAAGAAGGTTCATTTATTGTCTCAATTATTTCAAGAATATGATATCCTTTTGGAAATGGTCTCAAAAATTTAAAGAAGACTGCCCCCTAGAGGACACTTGTAATAACAACAGGGTCCTGATGCTCAGACCTCCTGAAACCCTAGGCTCGTAGGGATTTTTAGAGCTAGAAGGATTTGGGGAGTTAGCCCTGGAAGGAACTTGAGAGTGTCCTTCGGGCCTCCATGCTGCAATGAAGGGAACTTGGCCAAAGCCATTCCATCCAGGTCGGGGAGTCTCATGTTGTCCGTAGTCTCAATCTCTGTACCTGCCCTTGGTGAGGCAGCTACTATAACCCTGGCTTTGAAGTCAGGAGAGACCTTGGACCAAAGCTTGCTTCAGACATCTATGAGTTGTGTGACCCATGT